CTGGGATGGAAGTGCCTCTGCCCTTCCAGCCTTGCTCAAAAAATTCCGCCCAGCCGATCAACTTCCGAGGTGTGATGGCATTCTCTAAGTGGTTTTGTCGCCACATTGCAGTAGGGCACTTCAATCTGAACATGCGCTGGATTGAGGCTAGCAAGGAATGGATATCTTTGCCGCACTGGAAAGGTGAGTGCCCACTGGCTGTCCACATTTACACCGATGGGTCAAAGATTAACGACATGGCAGGAGCTGCGGCTGTTTTCTGGATCCAAAGTCGAGAGGGATGGTTCTTTGGCGGCCATCTCCAACACCACCTTTCTGAAGGATGGGGATCCTACGATGCCGAGCTCATGGCTTGCCTGATGGCGGGAAAGTGGGTCTTTGATACCTTCAGGTCTCTGGGCTTCTTGTGGGATCGGACACCACCTGTTTTCCTGCACTTCGACTCTACGTCTGCTGGATGGGGAGTATGTGGCTGTGTGCAGGGGTCAAATGAGCACCCTATCTTTCGAGCAGCCCGATCAGTCTTCCAACTCCTGGATCTACTTTGGCCGGGAGTGATCCAACCCTGCTACATCCAGGGCCACTGCGGGGATCCTGGAAATGAGAGCGCGGATGTTTTGTCGAAGCATGCAGCACAAAACTCCTTTGCTACGGATGCAGTGTGGGCTTTCTATTATGAGGCGAAGGGACCGGCCTTCAGATGCCTCCCCTGGATCTGGCTCACTTTTCGACAGGACTTGAGGGAGTATTGGAAGGAGGGCGATCTAGTTCTCCCAGCTGCCCGTGTTGAGGTCTCTGATGATGTTCTGGAGACCTTACAGACGTGGCAACAACAGACTGAAGCAGGACCCAACATGGAGCTGGGCTTTCGCTGTCTGACTTACAATGCCATGACACTGAAAGCAAAAGAGCTGTCTGGATATGTCAGACTGACGCAGTTTCTCGAAGAATGCAACATCAAAGGAGCCAATGTGGTTGCAATCCAAGAAACCCGTTTGACTAGAAAGACAATGACGAATGAACATTTCTGGCTCCTGGCACACCCATGCGAGAAAGGACCTGCGCAAGTCGTTTCCCCTGCTTTGGGTGCAAGGCAGACCCGTCCAAGTCTCTAAGAGCCACTGGAGGGTCCTGACTGCTACGCCGCATCTCATCCTCACCCGGTTGGCTGTGGAGGGCCTGGACATCCTGCTTGGGACATTCCATGCTCCACACTCTGGACTGGGACAAGATCGAGTACAAGGCTTTTGGGATGACGTGCGCAAAGCAATTCCTGCACACCTGAAACACCTCCCACTGGTGCTTGCAGGGGACGCCAATGCCAGATTAGGGAGTATTACCTCTCCCGCTGTGGGCCATTTTGCTGCAGAGGAAGAGAACGAGTCAGGGCAAATTCTACACGCCTTCCTCGTAGAGAAGGGGCTCTGTGCACCTAGCACATGGGAGGGTCTTCACACTGGACCTAGCTCCACATGGACTCATCCCTCTGGTAAAGAGTCACGAATTGACTTCACCTTGATCCCGCAAGGCTGGATGACGTGCAGTGTGCGATCCTGGGTGGACGACAGTCTGAATGTGAATACGTTTGATCATGATCACAAAGCTGTCCTCCTGGATGTACAAGGTTGGATGCCAGGGGCCCGAAAAACAGTCAAGCCCAAACCTTGCCTGGGGCCTTATGATGACACTGGATTGATGGACACGGGAACTGGAGCCATGGAAGCCTTTGCCCGAAGGCTGAAACCCATTAGCTGGACGCATGATGTTCATCAACATGCAGGTCAACTCATTGAACAAATGCACGTAGCAGCCGAGAAGGTGCTTTCTAAGAGGAAACCTTTTCACTCCAAACCCTTCTTCTCGGACGAAACGAGAGAAGCAATTCTATACAAGCAAATGTGGCGGACAAGGATGCTGAAGGGGCGACGAGAGTTGAAAGACTTTTGGATTTCTCTTGTCTTCAAGGTTTGGCAGAAGAAAGTCTGCCCTTGGGGATGGCTGAAGGTCAAAGATGACATCCTTGTCCAACTTCATTGGGGACAAGGAGTGTTCCAATGGTGCTTCATGGCTATGAGGAACTGGGCAACCACACTAGCCCGACGAGATGCCCACCAATTCTGGGAAGGGTTGGCCAGCCGCCTGCCAGACGCCGAGGACAACAAAGACCCACGTGAGTGGTGGAGACTTGTCCAGCGGCACTTGCCAAAGACCAAGGCAAGAAATGATGCCCTGGCAGCAGAGCGAAATGAGCGACTCCAAGGCCAGTGGCGCCCCTATTTATGCGCTTTGGAAGCTGGCTCCGAGACTTCCCTTGTAGATTTGTACAGGGAAGTTGTTGAAGAACACCAGAACAAAACGGCTGTAGCACCAATGGTTGAGGACCTACCCTCTCTGCTGGACCTTGAACGAGTCCTGAGAGATACCAAAGCAAAAAAGGCACCGACGGGGTACCTAGTATTTGGTTACATTCTGGCGCCCACTTGCTAGCACCACACCTCTTCGATCTCCTCCTGAAGTCAATGGTGCACTGTATGGAGGCAATTTTCTGGAAGGGAGGAGTTTTGAAGATGATCCCCAAGTTGGGGAATGCCACGCAGGTGAACCAATTCAGAGGAATCATGCTGCTCAACTTGATGCCCAGGCGGGCACACGCATGCTTCCGACCGATGCTGATGAATGAGTTGGAAAAGGAGAGACCACAGGGACAGATTGGTGGGCTGCCCCACCAGGAGGCAGCTTTTGGCAGCTTAGCCATGAGACTTTTTGTACGATGTGCCTATAGCTGCCAATTACCAACCTGTATACTCTTCTTCGACTTGAAAGCAGCGTACCACTCCTTAGTACGAGAGTTAGTGCTTGGTGCTGACCTTTCCAACGAGAAGGCCAAGAAGGTCCTGATCGAACAACTCTCGCAGGATGGTTTTGACGCTGAGGACATCGAGAGGATGATCTGCAGTGATGGTTTGCTACCAGCAGGCTTTCGTCGGGCGTGGTTCCGCGAGCTGCACAGCTTTACATGGAGTTCAATAGTTGATGAACCGGTAGCTACCAACAGAGGTAGCCGGCCCGGCAGCCCGCTTGCTGACTCTCTCTTCCACCTGGCTATGGCTCCTCTTATTCGTGAAATGGAGCAATGGCTAACACAGAGAACAGAGAGACAGGCTGCTCTTGAAAAGCTGGGGCACCCAGGGCTGCCGGTAGTGTGGGCGGACGACCTTTCAGTCCCAGTCATTTCCACCTGCAACGACACATTGATGGATGAAGTGGGAGCAACTTTTGAATTTGTGGATCGTCTGTTCTCTCGACACGGCTTCACTCTGAATTTGCAAAGAGGCAAAACGGAAGGGCTCCCCACGTTCGTGGGAGCTGGAGCGGCAGAGTTCCGAAGACGCCTGCTAGCTCAACCTGTTCTCTTTGGTCACAGAGACCTGCAGTTGGGCGCCTCCTACAAACACTTGGGAACATACATTGACTCAGCTGGAGACCTATGTCGGGACATCAAGCTGAGGATTGCCCAAGCATGGGGGATGTTCCGGCAGCTTTCCCGGCCCATCCTACGGAACGGCCGGCTGAGCTTGAAATCCCGGCTGGCTATGCTCGACTCGCTTATTTTTTCCCGCCTTTTCTATGGGGCAGGCAGTTGGGGAGCTTTATCGGGGACTTGACCAGGAAGCTTCATGCTTGCTACTTGGGCCTTTTGAGACAAGTCTCCTTTCAAGTTGCCACAAAGAAAGAGGCGAAAGTGTGGAGTGACAACACTATCCTGCAAATGACAGGTCAACCCTGCTTGAGGGTGAAGTTGGCTGTGGCTCGGCTCCTTTTTGCGCCTCGGATGTGGAAACATGCCCCAAGCTTGGTGACAGATGGGCTGCGAAGAGAGTATGAGCTCCGGGAAGACTGCTGGCTCAAAGCCTTCTCCTTCGATATGGGATGGATGCAAAACCATGTTGACCTTCAATCTTGGGGGAAGACATGGGATGAACTATGCCCTGTCTGGAGCTCAGGCAAGCCGGGGTGGAAAAGACTTGTCAAACAAGCTTTGAAGAAATACATAGAAGTGAGTAGAATTGTTGAACATGCATTTATGCCGGAACCTCAGCAGCCGGAGCGTGCCTTGGCAGCTAATTTCGAGTGCCACTGTGGAGCCCAGTTTCGCTCGGAAAAGGCCCTGCTTGTGCATCGTGTACATGCACACAAGGAAAGGGCGCCAGAGCACATGCTCCTGAGCCATCCAGTATGTCCGGTTTGCCTGAGATTCTTTTGGTCCTTGAGTCGTGCACAAGGACATCTCCGGTATGTGTCACGAAAAGGCATCCCCAACAGATGCTACGAGTGGCTGAGAGCCACTTCCTTCCAGGACGATAGGACCTGGGATGGGAAAGACTTCGTAGACCTACCCGGAATGAAAAGAAAAGAAGCCCTCAGACTGCAGGGACCTCAGCCTTGTGGGGCCGTCGAGGCTGACCTTGAAGCAATTGAGAGTGATTTTCTTGAAAGCAGACAGCAGCTGAAGAGCGGAGGGATTTTCTTTCCAGTGTCGGATGAGATGCAGAGTAGATGTTCTGTACAGTTCGACTGGGAGTTTTCACAAGCCTCAGCTGCAAACCCAGTGAGTTTTCCACAGGTCGATGGCCTTTCTGTGAAGATCCAGAGGTTGCGCACCATGGAAACACACGGACCGCATAGGGCACCATACCATGGCCCTGCCAATGATAGGGAACGCAACGTTCGGGACCTTAGCATTCCTTCTTGCGAAGTGCTTTTGGTTGGTTCGGTTGAAGTCCCTGTCAAACGGTTGCCACTTTCGGTCCTCTGCAAGCTCTAGGGAGGTGCGCCAATTGAGCCTGCCCTAAATTAAGCTTTTCCCCACGCTTGACCATGAGATAAGATCTCACATGGGGTTGCGAATGAAAAAATTTTTTGTTTTTGGAGGCCCTCTTGGATGTTTGAAGTCAAGGCTTTGAGGCACCACAGTCTTGAGCCAGTGTTTGCAGCTGGAGGACGTGAAAGATGATGCGTATATGTCCTGCTCCTTGTCACATTCGATTGGGAACTTCTATGCGCGAAGGCATGCTATCCTTCCAGAAGATCTGGATGATGCTGTGCTGTTGCGTGCCTTGTCTACAATGGAGGGTGCCACGCACGACACAGTCCGAATGTATGTGATATCATTTGATTTTGATGTGACAAGGTCTTTGCGCCTCTGCTAATGTTTACTCTAAAGATGCAAATTTGATTCAAGTACCAAGGGTACCAGGTTATGGCATTGTTTGGTCCTTGGGACTTGCAGTCTTGCTGATGCTAAAAGATTGAGTTCGGCCACTTTCGACCAGGTATCCAGGTGCCAGCTGTTTGTGTCGCTTGCTGCAGTGGTCTCGACCATGAAGAGGAGAAGCGTCATATGGACATCCCGATCCTAATCAGATATGACACTATTGAACAAAACAAACTGAATTCAAAGATAAGCCTTGATGTCTTTGCAGATCGGATAGGAGATTGTATGTCAGCGTGCTAAGTTCAAAGGCACGTGAAGCTTTGTACTTGTGGCAACCTGCCCTTGATTCCAGCTCTTTGAATCGCAGGAAATCCTCCTCCCTCGGGGCAGTGTGCTTCGAATTGATCGAATTGACCAGCTGGATCACAAAAATGGACCGGCGAATGGCCAAGTGACAGCCATTTTGACAGCAGAGGCCACTCTGTTGGCTGGTGCTGGTGCAAACACCTCGTTGGATTCGAGGAAAAGTGGCGGCGCTGCAAGTTGTGCAGAAGTTTCACGAATTGAGTATGGAAGTCTTATGAAGTCTTTAGTCTTGGGGATGGTGCGGTATGTGAGAACGAACTGAAACCTGGAGACCATCTGTAGACCTGTCAACCTGTCGCGTCCAGGCCTGCGAAGGGTGTCGCTCTATGCGTTGCCACCCGACAGTGCGGAAGAGCTCACCACGACGTTGCACGTGGCAGATCCACTGGACCGATGCGACCGCCGCGAGCGTTGCGGTGTTTGAAGACAAAACACGACAAGCGAAGGCCAAACCTCCAAGCATCTCCAAGCAATGAGGCGATGGCCGACGGCGATGGTTTGTGCTTTTGGCGAACACTAGGCATTGAGTCAGGCCAATAGCCAGTGGGGGAACCATCTGCCCTTCAGGACGTTGCACGGCAGTTCCGTTTGTGCCTGGGCTACTATTGGATACTTGATACGCATCGGGCAAAACGTGAAACCTTGTGGCAAACTAGTGACAAGAACGCTGCTAGTAGCAAAGGGCATCGCTACTAGGAGCAAGGGCATCGCTATTAGTAGCTAATTTGCTACTAGTAAGACCTACAATTGTTTGTTGTACTTCACTAGACTCTACCCCCTTTGCGGAAGTTGTTTGTCAAGATGGTGTCGAGAAAAAGTAAGGGCTGCTTCTCCCAGCTGATGTCAAAGCAAGGTGGCCCGTTGCAAGAACCCTTTCCCACAGAAATTACTGCAGGTGAAAAAGGCAATGCATTGACAATGCTCAAACACATTTCTTGTCACCTATGTATTCTTTTGTTTCATAATGTCATCCCTGAAAGAGTTGTTGCGCCAAAGGTTCCCCACAAAAGCGGGGCTTTGGAGACTTCGTGCTCAAGTGATCCTCCTGGCAACTTGGTGTTACGCTTGGAGCTGGTGCTTTGGATTCGGGTTTGACTAGGAGAGTCATTGACAGTGCAAAATATGTTGATGAGCTTAGTATAATTAGATTCGAGAGGAACAACACATACAGTGTTTGGGCCTCTTTCGTGAGGTAAAATTTTAGGCCAAAACACCTTGCTTCTTCCTCTCCTTGAGCCGGCCGGCCAAGCACAGCCAGGATGGATCCCCCCGCATCATGTGTTATTTTTTCGCTTTCGATGAGTCGAAGTCGAGGGAGACATGAAGCCAGACGAAGGCAGGAGTTTCGTGTTCCTAGTAGCGTCCTTGTTCCTAGTAGTAAGGCACTTGTTTCTAATAGCTTCTTGTTACTACTAGTAAGGCACTTGTTACTAGTAGCGATGCACTTTTTCCTAGTAGCGTCCTTGTTCCTAGTATGGCCAGGAGCCCCTAGTAGCTTCTTGTTACTAGTAGTAAAAATGCTCCTAGTAGCGATGCCAGGAGCCCCTAGTAGCGACGCCCTTGATCTGTAAAACATCCTTGATTGGACACATTGAATAGACATGTTTTGGCAACGCTCAGGGCTCTGCAAGTCGCAGCTAGTCCAGCGCGGAGCAGAGTGGAACACATTGTGCTCACTTTGCTTGCTCCAAGGAGAACATCACAGTGGACCTCAGCACCTGGCCAATTGAGGCGACGAATGAGTCGCCGCTTTCAAGGAGTAGTCAGACGGTAGTAAGGACAGTTTTGTAAGAAGTACAGGGCAGTTGAATCCTAAGAAGAGCTTGGCATTCGTGGTAGGCAGTCTTCTTGGAGCAATTTCGGTCAAACAAGTTCATAAGTCCCTGAAGAACTGCCGAAGACTCAGCTTCGATCTTGAATCTTGAAAGCTACCCAGTGCGCAGGTGCTTCCGGGTTTGAGCTCGGCGCATCGAGCACAAGCCCTGCCTCCGCAGACGGTGATCACCAATGTGCCCTTTGATGTGTGCCTTTCTTAGCAAGGAGCAAGGGCATCGCTACTAGGGCTCCTGGCATCGCTACTAGGAGCATTTTTACTACGTACTAGTAACAAGAAGCTATTAGGGGCCATACTACTAGGAACAAGGGCGCTACTAGGAACAAAGGGCATCGCTACTAGGAGCAAGGACGCTACATGTGTGCATCAGCAAGCACAGCAAGCATTATGTGTGGTTCTAAGCACACCTCCACGATGCCCAAAAATACCCGAGGCCCGTTTACTCCTTCGATGAGTATGAGAATCCTGTTGAGACGGGCACAGATGTCTTCCTTATGAAGATGACAGGTGGCTACCATGGCCGGTTGGAGCAGAAGCCGTGCTTCGACAAAAAGTCATGCAGGCTTTGTGCCACACCGTGCTACACATAAATGTACTTTGCTTGTGAGTCTGACGTAGTGGGCAAAGCCTTTCAAATGCATTCATGAAAGCCCATGTGCTTTGTAATTGAAGTGGAAGGGTTTCAGAATTTGTTGACCAGCCCTTGCACATGATTGGACTCCGTATATCATTTGAGGATGGTGGACTACCTTGAGAATAACACTTACATGGTCCAGAACTTGTTTGTTGTGAGCCACTTGGACTAAACACAAGATCACCATATGGACTGCATTGCATGGACCGCTCTGCTGTTATCTCGTCCATGGCTTCATACCTATGGGCCTATGGGACATGAGCTAATTCTGAAGACTCTCGTCTATTTCTTTGTCTTGACTTTTTTGGCGTCGTTTCATACGGCGTTTCAATGCTCCTCATTCTAATTAAACTTAATTCCTAATTACTTCATAGCTTCTTGTTTCTAATAGCGATGCCCTTGTTCCTAGTAGTACGGCCAGGAGCCTCTAGTAGTGTTCTTGCTCCTAGTAGTAAGGCCCTTTGCTCCTAGTAGCGTCCTCTACCCCCCCCCCGCGAAGACGGTCTGGTCGTCTGAGGCCGAGATCTTTTCCAACTCCACATTGACCTCATGTCTTTGCGCCACAACAACAGCCTCTCTCAGTGCCCTGAGCTCTCTCCTGTGCCAGGCACGCTCGGAATCCCCCTCTTGGTTAAGTTTCCTAATGGAACCAAATCATTAGCGCGAGCGCTTCTTCAAGGAAGCTTCCTGAGTCCAGTAGTTAGTAGCTTACTTGCAGGTACTAGCTACTCTCCCTACTAGCGGCCTACCCCCTAAAAAGTCTTAGACATATGTACTTCAATGTATTTCAATTCTTTCCTTTGGTTTCCCCAAAGCATTAGGCCTTGGACGTCACTTTCAGAGCATTTCTGAGGAGTGGACTTCCGACCGTCGCTCAAGACTGGATCATCGAATTCACAAGAAGAAATTGCAGTTTAGGCAGTCTCTACATTCGCAAAAAAAGCAGCGCTTTCATCCAAAACTGGCCCCAAGGGGTGCCTCTTTGCCCTCACCAATCTGTTCGCAGGCGGTGAGATCTACCAACTCTCTGTTGCTTGGACCAAACACTCTGCATTCATGAGAGTGAAGGGATTAAGGCGGGTCACGTCACTCAAGGCAAGGGAGTTTGTGTGGGTGTGTTACCAAAGCCAGCCGATGGGCTAGGCTGAAGTTCTATTAGGCGAACGAAATGAGTTTCAGGGTGTGTGTGTGGGGGGTAGTTGCGAAAATGTGTTTTTGAACGTGGAAGTTGATGCAGCTGCGTAAATAGCTGGAGGATGCTGAAGGCAAAAAGGCACCGCTGGAAGAGTGGGTTTTAGCACAAAGCTCCTAGTAACTAGTAGCGATGCCAGGAGCCCCTAGTAGCGTCCTTGCTCCTAGTAGCGATGAGGCGTTAAGGAGGAGTTTGTATTAATGCCCTTGTGCACTTCATTTGAAGGCCGTCTCGGGGCAAAGAAAAGGGCACCTCTGAAAAGCGGGTTCTAGCGATAAGACCATTGACAAGGCAAAGCACGGCAGATCCATGTTGGAGCATTTATTGAATCTTGCGAGCTGCTGCTTGAGATGAATTTTGCGAGATTTGTGGTGAAAAGCTCGCAAAATGCGGGGGTTTTGGCAGCTGCTTGAGATGAATTGTCGGTGCAGGTATGGAAAGACAGCGTGATTTACAGAGATCTAGATGCAGAGAGTGCGCTTGGCTTCAGGGCCGTTTCGCAAAAAGGGACACCTCTGAATTGCACCAAGTTCCCCTAGAAAAGACCTTCAGGACTTCAGGAGCAGCTTTTGTTTTTGCCCTTTGTGCTTTGTTTGAAGGCTGTCTCGAGGCTAGAGCACCTCCGAAAAGCGGGTTCTAGCGATAAGATACTTGACAAAGCAGGACATGGCACATTGCTCGAAGCGCCTGCAAGGGCTGGCTTTCGCCCCCTCACTTGTCAGGTGTTAATTGATAATTTTTGGTCAGAGGTCGCAAGCAGTCTCAGGTGGGCGTCAAAGCTAGACGGATGTAGGATGGACATTGATGGGTTACGCTTGGCATGCTGCAAACTTCTTATCAATCCCTTAATTGACATCGCTACTAGGAGCAAGGACGCTACCAGGGGCTCCTGACATTGCCATGCGATTTTCAAGGAGCAGCGGGCGATCGGCAGCCGCGCAACGTTGCGCTGCTATTCAGGCGAGATGAGACATAGACGGTAACGGTAACACTGCACGTGCTGCCATGCCCTGGCCTGTCTATCCGGAAGGCAGTTTTTGCGGCCAAAGGAACTAATGAATGGACCAATTGACCTCATACTGTTCCTTTTTGAAACGATCTATGAGACCGGAAGGTTTGAAGATTTGAGGAGAAACCTTTGCAACATTTGTTTGCATGTCAAAAAACAAAAGGAACACGATCGCTTTTCCTGTGCAGGTTTTGCGCAGGCCGGCGGTGAAGAGGAGCTCCTCTGCGAATGGCCGCAGCCGAGCGCAGCCACAAGCCAGGTGAAGCGGATACACAAGGAACTAAGTTCAAATTGTGGATTTCTACCCACCACCACTGAGCGTAGCCACTTTCACACCACTGTCGGCTCTGGTGGCATGACCAAAAGGCTGTGCACTCTTCATCAAGCAAGCAATGACATGGGGAAAATATTGGCAATTGCAAGACAATTGTAGAAATGAAGCAAGACAATAATCGCAAGGAACGATCGATTGTGACATCATTTTTGCCAAGACCAGCTTCGCTTCTACTACAGAAGAACTCAAAGCCAAAGCGGACGGTTTTAAGATACTTGTGATACAACCACAACATGGCCAACAAAACTTGTTCTTTGGTGTTTTGATTTGTTGAAAGCTCGACCTTTGTAGATGAGGTGAAAGGAACTGAGACGCCAAGCTTTGCATCACTTTGCTGCTTAAAGTTCCCTCCACTGGAACATGAAACGTACAAGGTTGTTCAACCCCTGAAACTTGAAACCATCAGAACAGCTTCGAAGTCCCCTGTCACCACAGTGCTTGGCAGGTGGCTGGCTATGCTGAGTGGTTCAACCTCTCCTCCATGCCGGCCAGTGGTTTGATGTGCCGCGAAAGGACGGGCGGGACAGTCTCGGCAAAGTTGAGATAGATGAAAGTCTATCTCATTCTATTGTTACTACTAGTAAGGCACTTGTTACTAGTAGCGATGCACTTGTTACTACTAGCTTCTTGTAACTACTAGTAAGGCACTTGTTACTAGTAGCGATGCACTTGTTACTACTAGCTTCTTGTAACTACTAGTAAGGCACCTGTTACTAGTAGCGAGGCACTTGTTTCTAATAGCTTTTTGTTTCAATTCTATCTCCCTTTTCGGACTTCTGGAAATGATGATCTCCACACTTCTCTGGACTTGTTCTCGTTGGAGGCCATCGCTAGTAGGGTGGAGGCCATTGCTATGCTAGTAGGTTGGAGGCTACCGGTTTCAGGCCGCTGTGGTGTCCGGTAGCTTCACCTGTCCACTTTGGACGCTTGCTGATGCGTGACTGGCGGCGCCAGGCCTGGGCAGAGGGACATTCCACACATGCTAGCGACTCACATGTAGGTGATTGCACGCACGAACTGAACATGAAGTCTGTGACTGAACTCCAAAGGAACTCGTTCAGATGGAACAGCTTGTGCCAAGCACAGGTTGGGAGCGTCGAAACTATGGAGTGCATAGAGGGTCACGCTTGACCCTCAGAGCGCAGCTATGGGGTGCTTTGTTTGGAGGTTTCCTTTTGCCCCTCTTAAGGTTCGTCTATTGGGAGATCTTCATATCGTTTGTGGCTCCCGTCATGGGGAGGGCACATGGCTGGCTCCGGATGGCACAAAGCAGATCCCTGCTGCCTGCATGCCATTGCAGTGCCTCAGCTTCAAAAACTCTTCAAATGTCGAGGTAAAGGCTGTGCTATCCAGGATCTACAACCTCAAAAACGTTGGAGACCATCGCTATTAGGTATTTGTTTCCCTGAAGTGACAAGTGTCCCTTTCAGTCCTTTCATCCAGTTTCTCGTTACAACGAGGAACTTTTGCCCTCCTTTGGACTTGAACAGCTCCTTCATATGGGCTGCAAGTCATGGCCGTGATCCGGGCAGTGTTGTGAAGCTGCGATGCCAAGTAGGCCGGTCCTTCGATCCTTTTCGATCCTTCCTGCATGGGGTGATCCAGGTGATCAAGTCATGACACCATGTGCGGCATCCTCCTCCTCCTCCTCGTCGTCCTCCTCGTCCTCCTCCTCCTCCTCCTCATCCTGATCCTGATCCTCATCCTCATCCTCATCCTGGACTCCTCCTCCTCCTCATCATCATCATCACCATCATCATTGGTGACCTACAAAACAAAAACAGTTGAAGAGTGGTCAAAGTATAGCCATCCGGTAGTCCAGCCGGTCTACCTCTTCGTCAAGTTGCAACTTCTTACATGAGATGATTGCGCAAGACATGGCCAGCAAAACCTGGCAGATCTTAATTTTGTTATGGCCAGACTGGTTTGTTTGATTCTTTTTGTTGAATCCAGCTTGACACCATGTGTCCTTGTTTTCTGTCGTCTTCACGTCTTAGTTCCAAGCCCTCGAGGTCTGATTCCAAGTGCAGGCGATTCCACATTGGTGTGCCTTGGTGGGGAGCGTCATGGAGTTTTACCCTGTTGCCATTCATTGCCATCCGTTGCCTGTGATTGACCCGTTGCCTTGAAGACTCTCGCTTGACGTCCAAGGTGTGGTTCTGATGGCATTTGGCGGAAGCCCATTTACACTTTGCCCCAGCCACTCAGTGAGGCTTGGAAGGGGTGTGAATCGGCTGTCCGCTACGTAGTTACCTAGTATATCCTAGTATGCGTTTCTTCCTCAAAGCCCAAGGCACATTCTTCATGACTCTTCATGATATGGAAAAAAATATACATAAATATGATATAATACTTTTGTAATGTATATCGTATTTTTGGTTTTGTTTCGTTTCATTGCAGTCCAGGTGCTGAGCTGTGCTCCTCATCCGAACTTTTGCTCGGATCCTTCGCCTTTGCTCCTTGAGGGTGCCATCGCGCACATGTCCGAGGCAGATCGTCACCAGAAGAGTCTGCCGATGCCAAATTCATGTGCACATCATTTGTCCATTCTATTTTGCTGTTTGTGTCTATATAACACATATGCTATTCCTTTTTGTTTTGTCTATTTGAGAGGCAGGAGCAGGAAGATGTAAGCAGAACGAAAGGACATAGACGTAGAAGAACCCTTCGCATGATCGAACGGCGCTTGTTCGATGGAAATGATCGAAGGCCGGACCCTCTCCACTGAAATGAGAAAGCAACGCATTTCATCCACAGGGTTGGCCTTTCGGTTCTCAAGAACCTGATTATCATCCTCAAAGCAAGAGAATAAGTGCGGGGATTTTCTTAGTTCTCAACCGTAGTACCACTGTACCGCCTGATGACTCTGGATTCTGGATGTCAGAAGGATTCAAAACACATCAAGATTTACTCAGCTTTTTTTGGTGGCACCGTTGGCTCGCCAAGCATGCCACTGCCAGATGCACTTGAACGCCACTGTGTTGGTTAGCGACCTCAGCTTCAGCCTTCAAATGTTTGCATGTGGAGATCTATCAGGTTCGTTTGCTACATGACGGTCGAAATCATCTCAAGTCAGCCAGTTCCAAGACAGCTTTAGGAAGCAGCTATGTTAGGGACAAATCATAGCGTTGTCTCTTGCATTAGCTTCATGTCCAAATTTTGCGAAGAAAGAACAGTTTTTGAGTAATTCTTTTTTCGAACATCTGATCTCCCAAGGTGACATGTGCCGTTGGCTATGAGCCCAGTGGCGGTGAAGACATGGGGCTTTGTGGGATTCACCCCGAGGATGACAGCCGAGGCGGTGCACGATGTTTTCGCGACGGTCGAATGGTCGGTGCCATGGTAGTGACGTCCATCGTGCACAACTTGGGCCACACTGGACCGATGAACGTTGAGATACAACAAGGACGCTACTAGGGGCTCCTGGCCTTACCACTAGGAGCAAGGACGCTACTAGGAACAAAAGGCATCGCTACGAACGGAGCAAGGACGCTGCGAAACATTGACTAGGAGCACGTGCGAAACATTCCGAAGTGCGACCATACCACCTTGTGATCAGGGCGTTGGGTGAGTCCATCCAGCATCAGCAAGGGACAGGCTCGGTTGAAGCAGCGACCAATCAGTCTTTGGACCGTCTCTAGCTTCTAATTTAATTAATTCTAATTAAACTTGTTTCTAATAGCTTCTTGTTACTAGTAAGGCACTTGTTACTAGAAGCGATGCACTTGTTACTAGTATCTTTTGTTTTCTTGGAAACATGTGGGAGACTTTCAAGATCACTCTGGCCAGGTACCTTGGAAACCGTTGCGCTGCCGCTTGAAGCAGAGTTATTGCCCGACGATCCAGGCAATTTATCTTTTCTGGATTTATACTCACATGGCTGTTCAATCATCATGCAAAAACTCTGTGATTCTTGTCCATCCTTGTCTCAAGATTCGCAGCTTTCAGCTAGGATTGCTAGCACATGCTAGCACTAAAGTTGAGCAAACGCCTTGGATTAGAAGTTTCCAAGGAACGTCAAGAAACGTCAAGAACGTTTCCAAAGTGTTGTGGATGTTGGGTGTCGTTCGCCAGATGAGCCACGGGATGCTGCTTTCCCTCTCCAAGGCAGGGTTTCGTCTTCATCCAAGCCTTGTTTGCATCTAGCATCAATGAGAGTTCTCCCCTGAGGGATGCTGTACGTAATTATTTCATAGGTGGCAGTACTGTACTGAAAAAACATGTCAAAATAATTTGCACATCGATATTATTTCAAACAGGTAGTGGTGGGGAGGGTCAGAATAGTATTCTCGTTGAGTGTCAAAGGCTCCAAAGTAATTAGAATATTCCAAACAAATTTAGAGTCTCAGATTTAGGAAGGTGTAGATCTCAGATTGGGGAGAGCGTGCATTTTTGCTTGTGCCAGATGTGCAATATTTTATTTTGGTGGTGCAGCAAGTAGTCAACCATCTCAGAAATAAAATTGTAGTAGTTACTGTAGTTATATATATACACGTTAAAAGAGAGGTAGGGCGGGCACAAAAACAAGTTGCTTTCTGTTTCTCTTGTTTATACCGGTGTTCGCCTACAAAATGCCGATCCTTTTGTGCTATATTATGCCAATTTTGAACCTCATTTTATAGGGCACCCATGCGGTGCACACTCTGAATCTTGGTGTTTTTTTTGTCAATAGGGATGGGGTCCCAGTATAGTCGCTATACAGGTACATGCCATATACTTTTGGCTCAAGTGCCCAACCAGGTAAAAAGGAGCTTTAGCGCGCGAGCTTCATGTTGACCTAAGAGCTAGAACGGGGCCAGGGCACACCTTCCATCCGTTCGCAGGTTATCAGCCGTATCCAGACTCCTTTGAGCTGGGTTCGTGCTGCGGCCTTACACAACACCATCTAAACGCACACGCATCGGATAGATCAGTTACCCTCAGTCACTCAAGATGGACCAATCCGACGCCAGCACTGCATCTTTTGGGGCAGCTGCTGCGGCCGCAGATCGGTTGAGTGCATCCCACAACTCTAGTCCAGGTACGATCGAAGTGGAGACTCTGACAGCGGTGAGAGAAGGTGCGACAGGTAGAGCACGAAGTCGTTCCCCGTCAGCGCACTCGACACCACCGTGGGGGACACCGAGGTCAGACCGTAGCACTAGGGAGACAAGGAGGAGGACTGACACCGGAGCTGTGAGAGTGTTAGCATTGCAGGATGGGTCAGCTGTACCAGTGCCGTCGGACAGCGAAGCTGGGGATCGAGCAAGGGCAAGCACTGACAACCTACAACTAGCACGGGCCGATGGAGACCTGAATGCGAAGTGTGCGCAACTACTTGCCGAAGTGCATATGTTGAACCACCAAAACGCATGGATGGTCGAATGTGAGCAGAGACAGAACCAGATTATACAACACGAGACCGAAGTCCACGAAGTAGTGATGGCACACCTCGAAGAATGTTATGTTGAAGGATATGGAAATCAACGAAGAATCACCCAACTTACAGAATCCAGAGACTGTTTGCTCTCAGCAGCACACGACCTGCAATACCAGATGGACACTGATCGCGTGGCAATGCGGGATCGTCTCACCCAATTGGGGGAGTACGCTGATCGCAACAGCACAGAGATGGTTAGTCAAGTTGTGAACATCGGCACGGAAGAGATCCAGGCTATATCGGAAGAAAGAGATCGAGCCGTAACCGAGGTCATGACTACAATCGCAGATGCTGAGAACATCAAGGATCTGTGTAGACAAGAGTTAGTTGGACTACAAAGGCAGAGTGCCAGAAACAAACACGAATACATTGAAGAGATGAAGATGAGGGAAGCAATGCATGCAAACAAGATCAAATGGTTATCAGAAGAGAATGAGGAGCTCAACAACCGAACTAACAATCAGGACAAGTTCATCTTGAGCATCAGAGAGCAGTTGAAGAAGGCGAACGAGGAGTTGACTCAGGCGAGGATTCAAGGATCCGAGCGATCGTTTCAACCATCCAGCGCCGAACTCAAGAAGGCCGAAGTCAAGGTGAACATGTTGGAAGAGGACATCCTACGTAAAGAGAGGATACTGAAACGTCTTCAGGAAGAATTGATGGAATCAAGCGCAAGTGAAGCACAATTGAAGATCGCACTGAAATTGAAACCACCAGACATGGGATCAGAACTCAGTGTGGAGAATGAGATGACGACCAAGCTTAGAGCGGAACTTGAACGTACTGAAAAGTTATTAAAGTCCGAGGAGAAAGAGGCGATGGAGTACTACGAGGGTATGATGCAGAACCAACAGGACATGATGGAATTCGAAGCGCATGCATCACGACTCAGAGATGAGAGGAATAAGTACCGGAAGAGATACGAAGAGGAGCGCACAAATGCAGAGAATGCAGCCGCAACCGAACATGGTGCCGCTTCATCCTCTAGCTCGGGCGGCTCCAAGATATCTCGGAAGGAACACGAAAAGATCAACATCCCTGCATGGCCCAAGATACACGACCTGGAGGTTTGGAAATCCCAGGTCGTAGCGGCGGTCGTGACGGCATCGGGCGACGAGAAACAAGAAGATTGGATCCAATGGCTCTCGGACGCCTTCAGATCACCATATGACCCATTTCTACTCGAGACCTCAGGCGAGGCAAGGTTCGCTAGCATAGACGCTAAGCTAGGTATCACCCTGCATACGATCATCCACGCAGCAGGTGAGAGATCTCATGACGTGCAACTTAAGGTGAGGCAGATGATGCAGAGACGTGCGAGAGGCACAACTCCCGGAATGGTCAAGGGGCGAGAAATGTTAGCGTTGATCGTCGATAGTTTCCGGAGTGCCGACAATGTCGACGTGATGTATGCCTCAAAACACCTATTCGATCTAAAGTTTCCTGGGGATAATCAACTATCCAGATTCCTAGGACAGTGGGATGAGATCATATCAGGTATGGATGCGGATGACATGCTTCCTGACAAAGCACTTCGCAACCTGCTATGGGATAAGATCAAGGATTCCAAAGTGATGGCGTTAGACTTGTCTGTGTACGACAACATGTTGGATAAAGATCCGGATAAGACCTACCAGAAGTTACGAGAGATCATGGCGAAGTGGATACGGAAATCAATTGAGACCACAAACAAGAAGGAAAGGGAAAAGGCTTTTGGGAACATCGTGAAAGCCACACCAGCGGCGGAGAAGAAGGATCCTAAAGCCAAACCCAAGAATACCAAGACCGATCCACCGAAGCAGGCAGCTCCAGTACTTCCTCAGGCTAATCCGAAGGATCACAACAAGAAGGACAGGAAACAGGACCGTGGAAGATCAACCACGAAGAGCCCAAAAGGGGATCGTGGCAGATCAACGACTCCGGCAGATACGTCCAAGATAGGATGCGCTTTCCACTTCCATGGGAAAAACGGATGTTCTAGAGGAGACAAATGCAAGTTCAGTCATCAAGAGAAGCACAAGAGTTCTGCCAAGAAACCAGAGAACATCAAGGATGACAGATCCAAGAGTCCCGGTGGCAGGAGCAGTAGCCCTAAGACATTGAAGGATCAGGTCTGTTGGAATTGGCAGAAAGGATCGTGCAAGTTCGGGGACAAATGTCGACGTCAGCATCAAGCTGCTCCTGCTACAAAGCAAGAGGCTAAAGGCAAAGCCAAGCCCAAACCGGCTGCGCCAGCCTTCATGCTATGCGGGGACATCGAGAGTGATGACGAGGACATACAACCCGCACTTCCCAACGTACAACCAGGTAAGCTGGCGCTTCGCTTTAAAGTCAGATTCGATGACCAGGCGAATGTGACCACGTTCACCTGCGATCCTGGTAATGAGCTGAACAACCGTCCCCTCAGGAAGAGGAGGAATGAGGTGCAGAAGGTGGACACCGAGCTCATTTCGTCGTTGAGAGCCCTCAGAGTGAATAACATAGCTGCACGAGTAGCACATGCCAAAGGTAAGATGATGGAGCTATTCTATGCTGAACACGTTGCCAAGGCATGGGTACAAATCACTCAAGATGAAGGAATTGAGGTGAGCGTCGACCTGTCTGATTTCAACACCAGGGAGGTAGTAAAGAAGGATTGTGTCGACTATACGATACCAGGAACCACGATGTTCATGGCTGTGGAGAGGTATGATGGACCACCGATACGCTTCATCATGGACACGGGATGTGGACACGATTTGATCTCAAGAGAGAAGGTCAATGCCATGGGCCTTACCACCAAGGAAGGACCCAAATCCGTGAGCTTCATGACAGCGAATGGTGTAACTAGTACATCAGAGATGGTGGACATCAATGTGGACGAACTACCCATGAGGTCCGAGGCACACGTGTTGGAAAGCACACCATCAGTCTTTTCCATCGGGAAGCGGTGCATGGAGCAAGGGTACTCATTCATATGGCCGGCGAATCAATTGCCATACCTCATCGACCAGAACGCGAACAAGATTCCGCTATCGGTGCATGACAACATACCCTACATCAAGGTGAATGATGATGACGGGAGATGTTTACCAAGACCAGATGGCTTGGCCACGATACTTCATCGCATACTGTCAGGTGTGGGGCATGAAGACGAGGTCACAACAGGCCAGGAGACACAACAAGAGGAACTTCCGCTCAAGAAATCACGGAGACGGAGGAGAAAGAAGAAAGATAACCAGAAAGGTCAAGATGGCGAGTCTGATATCAATCCAGCCGTTGCAGGCGTCGAAGGAGAACCAGAGGAACACGATGATGACAGGTATTCTCCTGAAGAGGAATACGACGGGGAAGACCCGAGACTCGATCGTGATCACGAAGGTCAATCTGAAGAAGCCGGAGGCGACGAGCATGGGAGTGATGCGGATTCTGAACGAGGGGAGAGTGACATTGATGAAGATGAAGAGGGACTATTGGAAGTCGATGTGGTTGACGGGGAAACCAGACTATCAAAACCAGGAGTGCTGAAGAACGAGGCGAAATCCATATTGCACTTGATGACGCACCGATACAAGAACCCATACTGCAAGTCATGTGTGAGAGCAAAAATGAAACACTACAAGACTAGCAAGGGGGCTTTCAAACGGAAATTGAAGACATTCGGTGACCTTATCACTTTCGATCTCATGAACACTCAGAAGATGGCGAG